GGGAGGCGGGAAGGAATGGGAACCGCCAGTGTGGGTGGCTGGCAAGGCTGGCTCGCAGCACGCGCCCTGTCCTAGGCCCACGGGCAGGGGACTCGTCTCACCTCCACCCGCGTCCGTGAGCACCGAGGTCGCCATTCCCACCGCTAACAGGAATGCCGCGTCACCCCTGAGCGGGAGTAGTCAAATCTCGGGCAAAGGAATTTCGGTTAGAAAAGAAAATCCCACTGAAAATGCCAGCTACAGATAACTTAAAGCCATCCCTTTATTCCAAAGGGCACATTGAGAATGTTACCCATTTGTAAATTGTTCCCTAATGTCCTTGTTTAACCGACAACAAAAAAAGGGCAACTCAATCTGTTGAGGGTCTGTGTGTTCTGAAACTAGAAATAAAATTGGAAATCTTTTCATTCTCTGTTATAGACACATCAGTAGAACTAATGGTCACTATAGAGTCCAAAAAACCCTCACTGCTGCTGTACAAAGTTGCCTACGGTACGTGTCGATTGTTTAGTCCCCAGGTTGCCTTTCCCCCGGGTGTGGGGTTCAGAAAAGGGGCGCCGTGACCTCGGAGTGTTGCTCTGCTTTCTGTACGGTCTTCAGGCCGAGGCACCTGTCTCATCAGGAAGCCCGTCTCTATAAAGCGTATTATACGGAATGGCTTGGTCAACTGTGTTCAGTTATTAAATACGTTTTCCATTTTTATCTGCCTGTTATAAAGATGAACGAAAATTATCTTAATGAGGAAGACCAGATGCATCATAACTTAAAGTCTGTAGTTGAATTTCCTAATTTAAAGAATAGTCCGAAATTTCCATGTATTAAAAAAAAAAAAAAAAAAAATGAAAGCCTCCTACAGTCCCAGTCTGGGTAACGTGTGTAATTTGTTAGTTTTTCGGGAATTGTCATCCGGAATGAAAAGGAGGCGTCCGCATCCACTTCGCCAGGCCGAGATGAGCTCCAGGGGAGGCAGAGCACCCCCCCCCCCGACCAGGTGTGCGGCCACCTCCCCAATCCTTCAGGGAGGCAGCAAGGGCTCGCCTGCCCCATGGGGTCAGAGGCGCTCCCAGGGGAGGTCTGCGTGGTGACCCTCTGACTGTCTTGACCTAGAGGGGCCCGGCCTGGATGTCCAGGCCGGCGTCCTCAAAGGAAGGCGAGGGCTGGGAACACCAACCCAAACGGGAGAGCCTGGGACACACGCGGACTCCGTCTTTTTTCTTTTTTTCTTACGGCAAAATACATACCACGTAAAAGTCGCCATCCTAACCGTTTTTAGGCAAACAGTTCAATGGCATAGAGTACTTGCACACCGTCTCTAGAACATCTTCATCTCCCCAAACTGAATTCTGTTCCCATTAGACACTAACTCCCCACCCCGTTCCCCCAGCCCCTGCTACCCACCATCTTTTCTGTCTCTGTGAATGTGAGTTCACATCTGCGTGAGTCTTAGAGTTACTCGAAGCAACTCGCAGAACTGGAATCCTACAATTTCTGTGTGCGACGGGCTCATTTCGAGCAGCACAGGGTCCCCAGGGTTCGTGCGTGTTGTAGCCTGTGTCAGAATTTCCTTCCTTTCTGAAGCCAGGTAACATTCCATCGAACGCGTAGACCGTAGTTTCTTTATCCACTCATCCGTCAGTGGACACTCGAGTTGCTTTTACCTTTCGCCTGCTGTGAATCGTGCTGCTGTGAACCCAGGTGTGCAAATAACCCTGTGAGTCCCCGCTTTCGATCCTCTTGGGGCTACACCCAAAAGTGGGATGGTTGGGTCATATGGTGACGCTATGTGTCATTTTTTGAGGACCCCTCCCCCACCAGCAGTGCACATGGGTTCCAATCACAGACTTCCTCTTTAATCCAAAGCTATGGAAAGAAAACCCATTATTTTACTCCTTCCCTTGCTCCGTGGGTCATTCCCCCATCTGTTCCTTTGCTCACTACGTGTCTTTGAACACCTGTTGGGAGGACGTCTGTGCCCCGTGACCCACCCCTCCGCTCTGCCAGCAGAGCCACGAAGGCAGCTCGGGTCTAAAACTTGCCACGTCTCCTCTCCCTGTGCTTCTATTTCTCCACTCCACACATCACCCTTTTAAACTTGGCAATGCCGGCGGGTGCATTTTCCAGGGAAGCTGCCAACAAAGGACAAAAATGACTTCTAAGTTCCCTCCCAACCACCAGAGCCCATACTTCTAAAAAAGGCAAAGAGACAAACACCAGAAAACAGCAGAAAAACAAATAGCGGAGAGCCCTTGCTTCACTGACGTGGGAGTCCATCTGGAACCACAAGGCGAAGTGAGTCTAGCTTGGGCCAAGTGCCTTATCATGAGAGCTGGCACCTCATGGACATATGTTGCGCTGCCCCAAAACCGTTCGTTTCTGTCCGTGGAGACTCTTGCCCAGTCCTGCTATCAAATATGGCCCAGGTTCCCGTGGAAAAGAATCGGTAGCCAGCCGTCCCTCCACAAAGCCGCCCCTGTTTCCCCACCCAGCCAGAGGTCAGAGAGCAAGGTGTCGGCAGGGCGGCGCTCCCTCCGAAGGTTCTAGGGGGAGGCTCCGTCCTCGTCTCTTCCAGCCTCTGGTGTTGCTGGCAGTGCGTGGCCTTCCTTGGCCAGTAGGCACAGCACTGCGGTCTCTGTTGTCACATGGCCTGCTCCCTGCTCGTGTCTGTCACCGTGTCTGCTCTCAGCTTCTTATAAGGATACCAGTCCTGTGGGATTCAGGCCCACCCTACTCCCGCAGGATCTCATCTGACACTGACAAAGACCCTATTTCCAAATAAGGACCGGTCCTCACGTTCCAGGGGTTAGGACGTAAACACATCTTTTGGGGGACACCATCCACGCAACCACAGCTGGAAAAGAAGAGACAGGCCAAGTCCCTCACAGGACCTGGATTGCCCCCCTCCTCCCACTGGTTTGACAGGCCAAGCAAGGCTCAGCCGTTTATCACGTTACAGTAATTAAGACATGCTGGGGCGGGGGGCGCTTGGGGGGCTCAGCCGATTTAAGCATCTCACTCTTGATGTCAGCTCAGGTCTTGATCTCGGGGTCCTGAGTTCGAGTCCTCCACTGGGCTTAAAATAAAAGACATGCTCTGGACTAAAAAGCTCCTGGAAGTTTTGGGTTCTGGAAAATCTCTCAACCCCTTATTGCTGACCAATCCCTTTCCTTCATCAGGAAAACACAGACACCCCCTGAGTGATGAGCACGGACAGCACAGGCCCCGAGGCCAGCACACAAGCCAGCAAGTGCCAGGGCAGCGTGACAGGCACACACGCGGGTCCAGGAATTTTCAAGTAGTAAGCAGCAATCGCTGATCATTTGGGCCAACCTGCTCAATTTTACAAGGTGGGAAACTGAGTCCCACAGACGGGAACTTGCTGGCTATGCAGGCATCGTAAAAGGAAACCTAGAGCTACAAACTGTCCAGAAAGCCCGCCATTAGCCACAGCAGACCAGAGCCGACGGAGCCACGCTCTCCCCGTTCGGCATAGCGGCTCCCAGCCAGGGCTGGGGATGTTCACCAAATCCCTACAGAGCTTTATCCAACTATCCTCCCTTCTTTCTGGTAAGTCCTGGGGCCGAGGGTGGGGAGGAAACAGAGTGGAACAGGTGCAGATAGAGAGAGCTCTCTTAGACGTACCGTCCCCTCCACCTGGCCCTCCCATCCAGAGCAGGGGGTTCTGGTCTCTGAGAAACTGACCTCACATCGATTGTGGGGGAGCCAGCTGCCTCGCTGGAGGCTAAACTCTGAGGTCCAAAGATTTCCAAAGCCATTGAAGCTTCTCTAAGTGCCAGTGATCTTGTCAGGGGAGAGAAGACAGAGAACCCGCCAGTGAAACACCCATCACCTAGTTCCATTCCAATCAACAGTAACTGCTGGCCAAGGGCAGTGCCCGGTCAATGCAGGACAGGCAAGACTGGGATACGGGGGGGAGGGGGGGTCCTGGGCCCAGCTTGTGGGGGGGGAAGGACTCGAGAGAGACAAGGTGCTTTTTAAATAGCAGAAGACAGAAAGGACCAGTGAGAGCCAAAGCTGCCCACAGAGGCCTGCCGCTGGCCCCTCGCCAACCCCCCCGCCCCGTGCTCAGAGCGCCAGCCCCATGCCGAGCCTGGGCACCAACCCTGTCCTCGGAGAGCTCCCAGGTGAGCTGGGTGGACACACACGGAAAGCACCTGGTGGAAACGTGGACGTTTACTCCGATCCCTCATCCTGAAGACAAGTAACACAGCTGCTCAGTAAACTCACGCAAGCCTCACTGCCTGACTTGTCACCGGTGTGTGAGCCCTCCCTGTCTCCTCCACCAGAGACAAGCGCTCGGAGGCACCCTGGCCGACCCCAGGCATCGCAGCGGGTTCCCACACCTGTGGGCGCCGGAGGGCGTGGCAGCCAGTCCCCAGAGCCCATGCTCCGCTGGCCCTCACACCATCATGTGTTGAAGGACGGCCCCACCAATGTGTGCCGAGCCCAATGCGCATCCCCACGGAGAACAACCTAGGCTGCTCTGTTTCTCTGGGCGGCCCAAAGCAGTTCTTCTGGAAAAAGGGCCTTCTGGGTGGGTCAGGAGGGAGCCATGGCTCTGAGATTCTCTAGACTCTCCCAAAGTAAGCCTCGCTCGCTGAGCGGGACTGCCAGGCTCCGCGAATGTTCCAGTGGAGGAGCGAGGACACGTGGACTCCCTCAGGGCACGCCACCGTGACGTGAGCACACGCTGGGCCATCACGCCGTCAGAAAGCGATGGATACCCCTGCCCCCAAGAACACCGCAGGTGCACGAGGGGCAGTTCCGCCCGGAGAGAGCATTTTAGGGGAAACTGAGGCTGGGTGGCACCCATCAAAAGCCCAGAGCGGCACAGGCCATGGGGCAGTGACAGGACATCACATTTGACTTGTATCATCTTTTATTATACAAAATAGAATTCCATCTATGTCACACATTCATCCTTTCTATAAATCTGGCTTTTAAAAAATCCCCAAGGGTGCAGTCTTATCTGTTCTCTGATTTTCCTTCCAATGATGTCACAGCTCAACTGCATTTGGTGCCCTCTCAAAGGACAAAAGCAGACAGGGACGCCTTGCGGGCCCTTCCCCTGGCCCGCCCCGGCCTGCCCGCAGGACGTATGGCTCCCGTCACCGTCTGGACCACAGCTGCTAGGGACAGTCAAAGCATGAGAATCAAAGTGGCAGCATATGTCATCGCCTTCACCAGCCTGTCTCCAGAAGCACAAAACCAGTCCTCGCAGCTGGTCCTCTGGGGACCAGCTGTCACGGCGATGTGGTGGCGCTGTCCCCAGGCGGCCGAGCATCCCGGGCTTCTCTTTGGGCAGGCCTGGACCAGGGCCTTAGGGGATCTCTGTGTCCATGGTATAAATCTGAATGAGATCAGACACAATGTTATCAATGATTGGCTTGGTAAGGTCGTCACTAAACACCTAGAAAGGAGAAGGAAAACAGGTTCTGATTAGACTCCCTCTGCATCAGACAAGGCACCCTCCAGTAAGCGCGGAATCACACTGCATAGGGGAGATAGCCCGGGGACTTGGCTATCACAAATAATGGTGGCTCTCTGCGAAGCCAGTTTACTTCCAGCCTGCCAAGGCTGATCACAAAGCAGAGAACATTCCAGATGGAAGAGGCCTTGGTGATCACCCAGCCCAGATGGGACAGGGAGTTGGTGACCGAGCTGGGCCAGGAGTCCATTTCCAGGGGTTAGCAGGCCAGAGCACCTGGGCCAGACGTCCTCCTGACCGTGAGCGAGAGCTCATCAAAGTGTAAAGTGAATCCCCAGGCACCCAAACTACGAGGAGTGTGCAGCTCGGGGCTAACCCTGCATGTTCCCAAGGAAGTTCTGGCCCTTGCCCAGCCCCTGGGAAAGGACCTCTAGGCCCCCGGCACGTCCTGCCTGATGAGAGGGTCTCGGATTCCCTGAGGGCCCTGCCAGGCCATCTGCGCCGACAGCGTGATTCCTGGTGGGGCCCCGGCTTCACGTCTGCGGGGCAGAGACTGAGGATCTGAGGTCAGCCACGCGGGAGCCCCGGGCCCACAGGACCGACCCCCACTGAAGTCCCCGGACGCCGGCGCTCAGGGAAGCTTCCCCGGCGGCGGCATCCTGCGCACGTCGTCACGCGTCACCGCGGGTCGGACCGCATTGCCCCACGACCCCCCTGGCCAGGGACCTGGAAGCCCGCCCCCGGTCTGTCCCGGACCCCGCCCTACGCCCCTTTGGTCCTTGCTGACTCCCCCCTGTATCCTCTCACTGTAAGCAGCCATTGCAACGGCCGTAACCACAAGTAGGACGGCTCTGCTGAGTTCCGTGGCCCTCCTAGCGCAGCACCGAGCCCGAGGGTGCTCTCGGGGACCCGTGATGACATGGAAAGTAAAAGGCAAAACAAGGAGATCTTGGTTTGATGCTGTGGCCCACCTTGGGCCCAGGGCTTGCTGCTTGGGGAACCAAAGTGCCAGGAGGGTTAAGATTTTGGGGAAAGCCAGGGCAAAAACTAGACCCGAGTCCACCCCCTCTACGGCCCCCAAAGAAAGCTAGGACCCTCCACAAGCCACTACTGCAGGTAGGAAACAGTGACCTGAAAATCCCCTAAGCCCTGGCTCACGGAGATTGGCCATCTCACCCCAGACTCTGGGTAGAAAATCAATGCTTCAGAAACACGTGTGTTCCTGGAGACCCCAAGCAGAGAAACACCATTAAAAAGTAGTCCAGGGCCAGAAGCTGGAAGCAGGCCAAGTGTCCATCCACGGAGGAACGCACAGACACAATGTGCTCGGTCCACAGCATGGAACAGAATTCAGCCTTAGCAAGGACAGAAATCCTGCACCTGCTACAACATGCTACGGCTTGAGAGGCACCGCCCCGTCCGCCCAGCGGCCCGACACGGCTTGGCACAAAGGCCCGCCTCGCCACTGTCACACGCCAGTGCGGGCAGGCTGCTGGGGGAGAAGCACATCAGGCTCGACCGAGTGTCCCGACCCACCCCCAGGAGACAAGTGACCACAGACAGGCGGTTACTGCAAGGAGGAAAAGCGTTTCCCAGCTCAGACTTCAGTGTCCCGGGGCCGGGCAGGCGGGGGCGTCATCCGGAGCCGCTTATCATTAGGCAACTGGTCCTTGCATGTCACGAGCCCCAAGGGCAGCTTCGGCTGCTCCTGGCACGTGTGGCCCAGAGCCAGCCAGAACAGGTAAAGAGCTGAGTGAACGGGGATGTGCCACCCCATCCTGCCCGGCACCTTTCGCTGGTGAGGGCCATGCACGGGAGCCAGAGGCAGCAAGGTGGCACCCAGTGAAGTTCAGGAGCAAGCGAAAAGAAAGGAGAGAAGAAAGGAAGACACAAACAGAGGCGAGCGAGACGATGGGAAACAAGCGATGGCACCACAGGTCTAAGCAGCCCAGAGACGGGCTGCCGTGCCCACCAAATGTCCTGTGTGAGCGGGGCCAGGAAGTGACAGCCCCTTGCGCTACCACCCGATTCCAACAGAGCAGGGACACCACGGTCACATGATCTGGAAGCCCCCGAGAAGCCCCAGCATGGAGCAAGATGCCTCTTCAACCCCATGCTGCCAGAGGAGGCATGTCTCACTCGAGAGCGGGACGACACATGCGTGTGTTCGAGGGTGCACAAGCACCTACTATGTGCCAGTGTGCTCAAGGGTGCACGAGCACCTGCTATGTGCCAGCTCTAGGCCCTGGTCATAGGGCGGCTGATAGAGCAGACAACATCCCTGACCTCCAGGCACTGACAGTGCGATTGGGTGGGGGGTGGGCAGTTCCACAGGCAATAAAGGACATAGAACAAAAAGCAGGAAAAGCTGGGTGTCCGGGGACGGCAAGCAGGCTGGGGGAGGAGCATCAGGAAAGGAGAGACATCATCGGAGCCAAGAGCGGCAGGAAGGGAGGGGCAGCCAGGAGCACACGCGGGAAGGCACCCAGGTGGCACCCTCTGTTCATGAAACAGATGACACATTTTAGATTTCTGGCCACTGGGGGTTTTGCAGGGGACGAAACCTTCAGTCATCGAAAATACTGCTTGCAGAGGACCTCCCACAGAGCAAGGCCACACAACGAGGGGTTATGACAAAGGAGCAGCAAGCTTCAAGTATGGGAAAGGACAAACCGCAAATGATCTCCAAACTCCAAAGTCGATAGGGCTGCAGAAGTCCTTGAGGGCAGCAGCCCTTCCCACAGACTCGCCCTGTACAAACAGCACTGTGCATTCGGCAGGTCTGGGGGAGGCCAACGAATCTTCCAAGCACCAGGCTCCTTATCCGCCCTCTAGCCACCCACCCCACCCTCCACCCGTCTGTCATCTATCTACCTGTCTGCCATCAGTCCATCCTCTCAGAGGACCCCCCGTAACTTCTCCTGATGCGCATCCACGCACATTAAGCCCTGATCTACGGTAAGCTCCCACTCGGTCCAATAAAAGTGCTCGGTTGAGCAAAGTGGCTGTCAAGTGGCGGCCATTCCCACCCCGGGACACTTGGTGATGTCCGGAGACACTTCTGGTCGCCGTGACCGAGGCAGGGGATGCTCCCGGCACCTACAGAGAGTGATCTAGCCCCCAACGTCCACAGGGCCAAGGCGGAGAGCCCCTCCTGCCTTAGACTACTGTGACGGGCGACGTTCGAGCTTCAATGTCCCGCAGTGGCACGTATCTCCCTTCACGGATAATCACTACAAGCAGACACAGGCACCCGGGTACCGGCACTCCTGAAAGTCCTCAGGCGAAGGAAAGCAGAACACTCAGCAGTCACCTCACCTGCCACCACGGCTTCTCGGCCTCGGCCTCGGCGGGCACCTCGACCCCGTAGGCCTGCAGGGCCAGGTGGAGCACTGCCACGGCTATGTGCTGAGCCCGGAACCGGAGGCACAGCCCCCCATGGTAGCTGTCCCGCAGCAGGGCCCAGGCAGTGACGGAAATGGGGGTCCGCTGCCAGCTGTAACGATTCAGCCAGTTCTTGAGGGAAACCAGGTAGTGGAGCAGGTACTGCAAAGACACACCAGTCAGCCGGTTGGCCTTCAGGGCTCCAGTCCCTAGCCGCCTGACTCCCCACTGCGAGGCGCTGTGGCCCCTGCGTCCACCCGCCACTCTCTGCTCAAGCCCTCCAACGGCTCCCTGCGTCACTTAGGAAAAAGCCCCGCTGGGGGCGCCTGGATGGCTCAGTCAGCTGAGCGTGTGACTTTTGATCTCAGCTCAGGTCTTGACTTCAGGGTTGTGAGTTCGAGCCCCATGTGGGGCTCCACACTGGGCGTGAAGCCCACTTCAAAAAAAAAAAAAAAAAAAAAAGAATGAAAAAAGCCCCAGTATCTTCCACTGGCCCCCAAGCCCTGCCAGCCCTGCCCTGCCCCACCCCCTACCATGTGGGAACAGGCCAAGCACGGTTCCCTCATGGCCTGGTCATTTCCTGCTCCCTCTGCCTGAAATCATCTCTCCCCACTGAGCCGGTCCCCGTGTGCCCACCCACCGTCAACTGGCGGCCCCGATCCCGGAACCCGCCTGGGCCGCTCTTGATGGCCACCCCTGCCACAGTGCATCTCCATCACGGGGCCCCGCTCTCGTCATCGTCAGAGGTCATTCGGCACATCCCCCTGCCCAACTCCACACCGGCGCCAGAAATAGCGCCCTCGTCTTCCGTTCCGAACATCGTGCCAGCCTGTGTGCCCAGCCTGAGGCCGGGGACTGCCCAGAGACAGGACGCCTGCTTTCAGAGGGACTAAAACTGGTGACTGTGTGTCCCAGTAGTGCTGCCCTTGGCTGTAAACTCTCAACGACCTGTCGGCCCCGCTGCCTGTCAGCTCTCGCTTCGGGAAGACAGCCGCTTTGCTTGAACCGCCTAGTCCACAGGCGTGAACACACAGGCGTGGGACTCTTGCACGCCATGGGACAGGGGGCTCAACTGCTGCCCTACACCTCGTCCCAACCCGACGGAAGGTGAAGGCCGCTAGGCTCAGGGTAACGCTGAGCCCCGCTCCCCTGCCCGACAACCCCCTTGGCCGCGGCCGCTCGTCCTCAGACTTGGTGTCACGAGTGCCCCCCCCCCCCAGAGCCAGAGCGGCTGCTGCCTTTCCCGTGTATCATGCCACCAACTGAAAGCACGACTGTTTCAAAATCTCCACCAGGGGCTTCTGGGATTAGAAAGGCGGTTTGGAAGCGGGGGGGGGGGGGGGG